CCATTGCACTTCTATGGGGATTAGTCGCCACTCCTAGGCCTCGAAGCGTTTGAGTGGCTTGTTGTAATGGCCAATGTTTTGGCCATTCTTGACGAGAGATGATGCTAAGGTCTGCACCTGTATCCAGTAGTCCATTAAATTCATGTCCTTGAATATTTAGTTTTAGCATGGGGCGAGAATCTAAATTTAAAGAAAGCATAGCCCAATCTACACCTGTGGAGCCTAATCCCTTGGAACCTCTTTCTACAGCACGACTGGAAAATTTATCATGTAGGCTGGGTATTATTAGTAACTGTGCTATTCTATCTCCTGGTGAAATTACTGATATACCCTTTGGAGAACTGGCTATAATTTTTATTTCACCTTCATAATCGGGATCAATTACCCCAGGACTTATCATAAGTCCTTTTAGAGTAGAAGAGCTGCGTCCCAATAATAAGCCTACTGTTCCTTTGGGAAGAGGTCCTTTTACCCCTATGGGAATGATTTGGACTCCCATTTCTGGAGTTAGTACTGATCCGGCAGAGGCGCAGATGTCCAACCCTGCGCTCCCTCTGGTTTGTCTGATGAGGGATCTGATGGACAATGTGTCCTGGGCACTACCCTGATGGGGTTGCTGGGTTCCTCCAGTGCTCCGTATATTTGTGGTTTTGGGCCCCGGAGCATTGGGCCCCCCTGTCCATTTTTTGGCAATGGAGCCCAATGCCTTTCTCCACGATATCGTGGATAAACACCTGGTCCTTGTTCGTTTTTTGATAATGGAGTACCCTGTATGGTGGTTTGAGAACGGCATTCATTAGCCCAATGTCTCCCTCTACGGCATCGTGGGCAAATACCCGGAATTCTACTCCTTTGATACCTAGTTTTGTTAAACCCTCCTCCTATGGGGCAATTCCTTTTAAAATGTCCTGTTTGTTCACAGTTGTAGCATGTTCTTGGCCTGGCATCTAAAGCCTGTTTTACTGCAGCTGCCACAATTTGCCCTTGTTCATTAATGTCTCTGGCATCTAAAGCCTGTTTTACTGCAGCTGCCACGACTTGCTCTTGTTCATTAATGTCTCTACATAATTTAATATATGTGTTTAAATCTTCATGTTTCCATGGTCTAATGATTTCTCTGCACCAACAATTCGCTTGGTCATAAGCCAGTTGTTTTATTAATGGCATTGCTTGTTCTGTATTCCCAAAAACTCTGGTAGCTGTTTGAATAAGCCTAGCTACAAATTCAGCGTAAGATTCATTAGCTCCTTGTATTACCTTAGATAATTGACCTTGTAAACCTCCATGTCCTTGTAAAGTCTTCCATGACCTAACCGCCTCTGCAGCAATTTGTGCATATACGCTAGGATCATATGCAATTTGTTGCTGCTGATCATTATAAGGTCCCTTTCCTAACAACATATCTAGATTTCTCTGAGGATAACCAGCTGCTGCATTTCACCTAGTCATCTCCTTGCAAAATTCCTCATTGGCAACCTTCCATAACAGGTATTGTCCTCCATTTAGCACAGCTTTACACATATTAGCCCAATCTGCTGGTGTCATGTTCAGGTTGTTAATGGATTCGACCAAGCTTACAGTGAAGGGTGCTTGAGGACCATAGGTTGTTACAGCCTCTTTTAGCTGCTTCACTGTTTTGAAATTTAAAGCATGGTGAATTTGCTGCCCTCCTACCTCAAATACAGGGCATGTTAATATTTGAGATCCTGTCTCAGGATCCCAACTATCAACTGCAGGGGTTGGGAGCCTCCCAGCATATGGAGGTGGTGCTGTTGGTTGGACATTTATGCCCTCTGGTGATAGAAAGGTGTTAGTAGCAGTCTCCTGTAGAGGTGGTGCTGTTGGTTGGACACTTACACCCTCTGGTGATAGAAAGGTGTTAGTAGCAGTCTCCTGTTGTAACTTTCCCCCTGATGGCTTTTTCTGCTCTAAGCTTTCTTCCTTTATCTGACTAGCTCGAAAGACCTTCTCTTTTACTTGAATCTTTTCCTCTTTCTGACTAACTTGAGAGACCTTCTCTTTTACTTGAATCAATATGTCTTCTCCTTCCTCTACCTTTGTCTGAATTGAAGGCTTCGGACTAAGCAAACAAGATACGAACGTCCACAATGGCAATGTGCCAACTGGCAGAGTCCCTGGGCTGTTCTTTTCTATTCTTTTTAAATCTTAACCATGATGGTTCCATTGTGATATATTCAACAACTCCTCCTCAAAAAGCCATGGGCTACATTTTTGTATTGTATCAACGTATGCCCTGACTGCTCTTTATTTTACTGGGATGCCTCCTTCCTCTAACAATTTACTTAACACTCTTTCAGTTTGTTTTTTACTAATTTCTGATCCCATATTTCTACTATATACAACCCAACAAGATGACGCCAAACAAAACCGAGACAGAATGAAATAAAAATGGAACAACGAAAAATCATTATAGCCTTTCTATCCTCCTGAAATGTGCATCCGTCCTTTCTCCCTATCTGTTCCTCAGACGTAAATAGTTTTTCCTCAGATGTGAGCGGTTTTTCTTCCGTCTCACTCATCTCCAGGGACAGGTAACTTAAAACAAAAGTGAAGCAAAACAAAAGAGGAATCTTAAAATGGCTACCCATCCTCTCGCCCTGCCCTCAGGGGCGAGCAGTTTACCTTATCACTTACTCTCAGTCGCTCCCCGTGCGAGCCACCAAATGCCGCAGTCTGGCTGGGCACAATTCAGGAGCCACTTGTCAAAAGAAACAAACTTTATTTCTAGAACCATACACTGCCAAACAAAACAGCTCCTCAGGAAAAACCCTCAGAGCCCAACTGCCACCACCAGCTTACCACAAGCCTCTCAACCTCCCCCACTCCTCCTGCTCTTGAGGCCGATTGGCTGGGTCACATGGGCGGAGCCAAAAAAGTCCCCCAATGAGCAGCTCCGTGGTCTGAAAGGGCAGGGAAACAGCCCAATGAGCATCACTGCAGAGGAGCCAATCAGCTAGAAGTTGCTGGGGCCGCTGTGAGCCAATCATCAGCTGGCAGTCTGAAAGTTTGCTTGGGCCCCTTCCGCTGTGGTTCTCAACACTAAAGTACTTAATAGCGAAAGGGATATGATGACTGCAACTTATTCTCAAATGGTGCAGGAAAATTAATATAGTCAGAAAGAAGAAAGTGAGCAAGGAAGAGAACGGAAGTAAAACAAATGAAGCCAAATGTACACAATTAATGAGCTTCGATGGGAGTTCATTTCCTATTTTTTGTAAGTTTGAAAATCCCTGTTTTAAACTGTCTTATCTAACTCCTTTTTGTCTGCTTATATTACAACAAAAAAATCTTTCTCCACATCAAAAGAATCCAGCATCATCCCTCCTCAAAAATATCTAACTCAACGTCTTTTCTGCTTAGTCTTCTGCCATCTCCACTATCAGCCTCTTTCTCTGCTCACCTGCTGACTTCCCCCTACTCCTTTTTAAAACATTATGCACCACATTGTTCTTGCACTGTTAGCCCAAGTCTGTCAAATGGTAGCATTGTTTTATTTGCTAAACTTTCTACTGAAGATACAAAATGATTTTGTTTTAAGGAAAGGCAATTAGTACATTGTGATTATTGATACAATTAAATGGTGACATAGATATTAGCAAGAAATAGATGCAACTGGTTGAAAATATTGTTTGTAGTTACCAGTGACCTTCAACTGGAGCTATACAGGGTCTCCTGACTTCCACATTTACCAAGTAATGAAGTTCTATGTACAAAGGCCAAGACAGGTATGGTCTTGGACCCACTGGTGATTATGAAGATAAAGAGACCCACAGGTAGGTACATACTTGAATGGATCATTAAATTCTTCAGAAATTTTCCTTAAAGATCTGCAAAACGAAATACACAGAAACAAGAAAACACTTGGAGGTCCATTATGTATTGTATAACATTCCCATGATTGTATAACAGATCAAGCCCTGAGGGCTTAAATAAGCCTAAGTATACACCAAGAGAAGTGGAGAATAGGAAAAGAGTGGGGAAAAAAATTTTCTAAACTAAAATGTTCCAGGAAACTCAACAGAGGCTTTAGGAGTGATGGAAGAAAGGAGAGCTTTTAAAGGTCAGGCGAGACCAGTTAGGGATTCTACAAGCTAAAGTCACAACCTGCTATGTTGTTTTTCTTGTTTCTAATGAAGAAGCCAAACGTGTATTTAAATTTAATACGTTTCTCAGGAAAATGGGCTATCAATCATTCTCACCTGTCTTATAAACATAATACCAAAAGCCTGACGCAGTGCATACATCTGTAGTCCCAGCAGCTTAGGAGGCTGAGGCAGGAGGATCCTGAATTCAAAGCCAGTCTCTGCAATTTAGCGAGACCCTAGGCAACTTAGCAACCTATCTCTACACACACACACATACACACAAACACAAACACATGTATGTATGTATATGTATATAAAGGGCTGGGATGTGGGCGAGTGGTTGAGCACACCTATGTTCAATTCCCAGTGCAAATAATAATAATAATGATAATTATAATAATATATTATTATTAATAAACAACAATACCGAGTCACTGCATTTCAAAAGAACCCATACGAGGATGTATAAAGTTGTCTTGGTGACAATACAATGGGACTAATTACAACTATCCTCAGAAAACCAGAGGTCCACAGAACTTATACAATCGACGTAGGGGTTCGCCTCGGCCTTCCTCTGGGGACGCCTCCGGAGAGGGCGGCCACCCGGTCTCCCTCGGCCCGCCCTCCGCGCGCCCTCCCGCAGCCCCTCCCCGCAGACCGCACATCCTGGGCCCAGGGACGTCCCCAGCCCCGCACCGGGCCGGTCGTGCGAGGCCGGGAGCCACCTGTCGCTTCCTCCCCTCGATCCCTGGCCTCCATTGGTCTTCCAGAGGCCGGGAAGGGGAAGGCAGCCCGCTCCTCTTCCTCGATCCTCCTCTGGGAGCCTCCACCCAGACCCCACCTCTTTCTCCGCCGGCGACCCAGGTCCCGCCAGCCGCGGGGATCGGCACTTACGGCGTCGGCAGGGCGTCGGCCATGCAGTCGCCCGGACAGCCGGGTCCAGTGCAGGTCGCTCGGAGCAGGCCGCCGGCGGCGCAGCAATCCCGGGCGAGCTGAGCCGCGGCGGCGTCGCCCGGGCAACCACGACGCTCAGGCTGCGTGGGGCGGGCGGCTTCTGCAGCTGTTCCCCAGGCGTCCGCGGCCGGTCGCCCTCTCCAGGTCTCGGTGGGTAACCTCTGGGCCTCGGGCGCAGGGAGCGGCCAGGAAACGTGTCACAACTTTTGACAGCGAGATCATGCTCAGTCCTGCTCCTTCCCAAAGCACCCAGGCCCCCCAATTAACCTAGGTGAAGGCTTATTACTCCGCTTCCCTGCGTGGGCAGCCACCGGTGGCAAGGCTCTTTGTCATTAGTCATTATCTTCGGTCATACCTTTTGTGGAAATAGCTTTCCAGCAAACTTCCCAGAGGCTTTGATACAAGCAGCTGTTCATTATCTGTGCTTCATTAATGGTATTTTCATAACTCATCAAGCACTGTACTAGTATCTGAATCTGGGGCTGAATTAGAGTAGGGCACCGGGTTTGTCACCCAGAGGGGAAAGCAATCAAGCCAACAAATAACATAAGGGAGGAATGCTATATGGAGACAAACACATTAACCTTGGGAAAGAGAATTGTCAAAGCTTACCCATTGTGTTTTCAAGACTAACTCAAAAAGAAACTGTTAATGAGCTCACATGTACATCAGTAGAATTCCCCCACCCACCATCATGGCCAGATTGAGGCTGTCAAACTTCACTTCTATACTCAAATCTCTATTTTTAGGAAATGTAACCCAGAAACAATCTTTTTCTTCTTTCAAGTCCTTCCACTAAATTTAAGTCTAGTTCTATCCACTCATTTCTAATGGCTCTTGCCTTCATCATATTATAAACGAATTTCTCATCCTGAGGCACCATGTCTATAATCCCAGCGATTTCGGAGGCCAAGGCAGGAGGATTCCAAGTTTGAGATCAACCTCAACAATTTAGATCCTCAGCAACTTAGCAAGATCCTATCTCAAAGTAAAAAATAAAAAGGACTGGGGATGTAACTCATTAGTAAAGTGCCTCTGGGTCCTATACCAGTACAAACAAAACAAAACCTCCTTATGTATGCAATTAATCATACTATGTATGAAAGCCACTGGCCTATTTTCATCTTCATGGTACTTGATCTCTGCAATTTTTGAAATGCTTGATCCCTTGATAATAATGCACTATCTGCTCATGTTTATTTTCCAGCTTCTTGCCTGTAACTCTAATCCAGGTACCCTAAGCTCTACTGCATTTAAGTCACTATTCCTTAAACATGCAGCGGTTTTGCATGTATAGGTTACAGCTTCCTACCTGGCCCTCCTACATAATACACACTTTATTTATCCACTACCTGGCTCTATACATTCTTCTGCAGAAAGGTGTTCCTTTTCCCAAAGCAGATTTAGGCTCAGCCTTTTGTACCTCTGTTTACTTCTACTTATTGCCACTAATCTTTATTTTCCAAGTGTGTTCCTTGGATGAGTGAATACTGGCTGGGAATTATGTGTGCCCTTTCCATCTTTTCTCCATGCTTGTCAACTGTCTGGATACACTGTAAATAACCATGCATTGCCTCACACAAGTAAAAAGAAATCTTTGTTATAATGAGTTTTAACTAGATTTATTTAATAAGCTTCAATTGTAAAGTTAATTTTATTTAAACCCTCTTATTCTTAATACAAAACACCTTGAATAAGAAAAAGGCTACTTGGTAAAAGCAAAAAAATTCATTCTCTGTGGTACACAGGGGAAATCATTGCTTGCAATCCAGTTCCTAGAAAAGAAAAATATCTAGTTTCAGAGGGAAAAATGCTAAAGTGTATTTCAGTGGGCAGTAAATATATTTCATGTAAATATTCTAGCATAGCTGTTAAGCAAGTACACTTGACTCCAAGTGCCTAGTTTCAAACCTGCCACTTCCCACTAGAGCCCTGGGCAATTTCTGTGCTTCAGTTTCTTATCTAGAAAATGAATTGAACAACACCTATAGTGTTTACCTATTAGTTTTCTTTTTATTTATTTATTTATTTTAGTTTTAGGTGGACACAACATCTTTGTTTGTATGTGGTGCTGAGGATCGAACCCGGGCCGCACGCACGCCAGGCGAGCGCTCTACCACTTGAGCCACATCCCCAGCCCCTACCTATTAGTTTTCTAAGCACATGCTTTGACCTTTTTGCCATTAATAGTGAAAACTGATATAACCTATCTGTCCTTTATTTTCTGGTCTCTAATGAAACCAGAGACATATTTACAAGTTGAAAGATGCCAATAAGCCCATAAACAATTGATCTCTTTCTTCTCAAGATCAATATCTATGCAAGTAGCAAATGAGATGGGCAAACTGAATTTCAATCAAGAGGAAATGTTTCCAAACATTTGAGTAGCTCTCTTTCTTTTGAGTGCTTTCTTAGGTGGAGCCTAGAAATTTGCAATTTTAACTGTCATTAAAGATAATTCTCTCTGATCAGTCAGAAACACTAATTTCCACAGATGGTTCTCATGCTGGAGTGTGTTTTCAGGATAATTTTTACAACTTTTTAAAAGTAAAGGTTATTGGGCTTTACTCTCAAAGATTATCATTTCAGTAATTATTTTTTAAAAGCTCATGAGTAATTTACCACCAGTTATATACTTTTATCTTCTGAAAATATTTTTAAGTAATGTCAAGTTAAATGTGACGACCAACATTTTTTGATATGATGACCCTTTATATAAGTTATAAGCATTGGAAACTAGGAAAAAGTGACCCAGAAAAAGAATCAAGAACTTTTGTCAATAAATACTAAGAACAGAATCTCCATTTCTTGAACAATTTTTCCATGAATTTGTTTTTCAGCAAATTGATAGTTACCCTAGTATAAAAATGTATTTTAAAATAGTCATTAATGCCAAGATTATTCATGTGCGTGGGGAAAGCAAGCAATGTATACAATTGTTATGATTATTACCAGCTGTACAATTTTAGACATGGAACTGTTCTAAAAGTAAACAATTCAAGGTCACCGTGATGGGTAGTAGAAGTAGAAATTGCACTTCTTGACTACCCAATCCAGGTCTTCCCACTTAATCTCACCACCTTCCCTTACCTCCAGAGTTGGTAACTCTCTAACACTCTTCTTCTCTTTAATTCAACTTCAGCCAATTACTTTCTGTAAAGGGTCAGAGGGTAAATATTTCAGGCTTTGTGGGCCATAGTTTCTTTAAAACCACTCAATTCTAACAAATGTAGCCAAAGACAACAGGTAAATGAATATGTGGTACTGTATTACAATAAAACTTTATTTTCAGAAGCAGGCAGTGGCTGGTTTGGGCTGAGGTCTGTTGTCTGCCTGTCCCCGCTCTCACCAAAACACTATGAATCTTTGATTGACTTTCCTGATCAGAAGTTTAAGATTCTACAGAAGATGCCCCATTTTCAAAGTGGGATTATTACTGCGCTTCATAAAATTGAGATCAAAGGTTAAATAAAAATCATGATTTAAGTGACCACATTGGGTACTTTAAGTGTAAAATGAAGTTTTTTCCCTTTAATATATTTTAGTGTTATTATGTATAAAGCCAGATGATGAGCTACTATACAACAGCATGTTAAAAAAACATGTTTATTTTACACTATGTACAATCAGGAACATATTTAAAACCATTATCAATTAAAATAAATGAAGACCATAAATCACAATTTAGTTTGTTCTTAGTGTATATCCACAGTAAAATATAAAGAAAGTATACCAAAAAGAGCCCAAAGTGTGCATTTTGCTAAAACTTGGTATATACATATTCCATTGGAAAAAAAGCAATCAAAAATGACTTTAACCAAAACTAAGTTCCTTTGATGTGTAGTAACCATTATATTGTTTGTATGAGGTAGTAACTAAATTATTTTGGCCATGTTGTAATAATCTAAATCAAAAGAAATGAAAGTAATCATAAAATAAGGCCAACAACAGAAAAATTCCACTAGAAATTTGAACCACTTCACTCTATGGAATGTTACAGTTCTTCAGTGTGATTATATGAAATGCCTAGTGTGGACTCTTTAATAATGCTAATTTATTCTTTGTGCATACTGTAATTCAGACAACAACTGCAGTGTTACACCATGGTACCGCTATTCTGTGATTTAAAATTTTTTCAAAGGTCTTTTGAAGCACAGACAAGCAATCTTACCGGATTCTGCTTAAATATAAAAAGATCAGTTACTACAACAGGTGGTTAACTGGTTTGTTTCACATAGAAAACAATCCAAATACATTTTTTTTAAAAAGATGTTGTGGAGCCAAATGCATATTGACAATGTCACAGCTTACTTTTGTGACTTAATACATCACATATCAATACTTTGTGCAAATATAAACACCAGTGTACTTGCATTAAAATTAAAAACAAGATTATAAAATGATTACAGCCTCCATTACAATTTTAAAAGTTACAAGATTTATATTCATATTACTAAATTACATATAATAAAAATACAATAGTGTTAAATGTACTGTGTCATTGCCAGCATCCCATTTTGTAATATAACCACACCCAATATACTAAAGAATTTTTAAAATATTACCCCAACTGCATTTTCATCAACATTTACATCTGTACAGATAAGACAATTACTTGTACATCTCATAAAAGTACATATCTACATAAGTTCTTAGTGTATGTCTTCAGCAATATGAAGTTTCACAGAAAAATACTGCCTATATGTACAAAGATTACATAACAATGAATTAAGCACTTGTGTGGTTCAATATGCTAAATATATCCATACCACTTAAAACAAAAAATTTCCCCATCTTGTCTCATGCCACAATAAATTACGAGTAACTGAAGCCAGGTTACTGCAGCTTTTGTACAGCTTCAAGCATCCATTAATGTTGCAGCGGTAGTGTTCGTTCTTTCTATAGTTTAACTGTCAAAGCACAACACTTCTCAGTAACTGTTTTCATGACCCGCCAGGATGTATAAATTGCTATTTGCTGTGGGGTTATCAGTTGGCCTACTTTCCAAAACCACGACCCTAAAAGTAATGAACAAACAAACAACATATAACAAAACAAAGT